CATTTTAAAAATGTCTTGGGGAGAAAAAGAATATACCTCATAGACAATAGCTGTTATGAAAAGAATTGGAATAAATTAAAATTTGTAATGCTAGCTTGGGCTTATGCTAGAGACTAAAAGATGAAGGTCTGATTTATTCACTAAGTTTGACTCTTCAAAAACAAAAACAAAAAAAAAAAAACAAAGAAAAAGAAACATCCAACACAATAGGGCTCTTATTTTTGCAAAACCTGTCCGTGATCTCAGCTTTATAAATTCCACTATGTAAAAGACAGCAAAGTTTCTGTGACTGCAAAATGAGAAAATAAAAATACATTTTTCAAGACATATTGAAGAATAAAAGTGAAATAATTTATATAAAAGCAATTTGAAAACTGTTAAATGTATATAGAGTAGCTATTACTATACTGATAAAGGGAGTTATGATTTCTAGATAAATACTAGATGCTATTATATAAAAATAAAATATAGCCTAATGTTCAAAAGAGATAATATTTGTATACCACTTAAGATTTTACAGAATATTTTTATATTTACTACATCTGTTCATTCTCAAACCATCTTTGAAGGAATGCAGGCAGCCATAGTTATATCTATGTACCAAGAATAAGACTGAAGCTCAAGAGAACATACACACATGACAAAACCGGGACTAAAATGTTCTTTTTCCTTTGTGATCTCGGAACTTGGCTCTTGTCTTTTATGCTTCTTTAGAAAAGGAATATGCATGTATGTTACCTTGAGCTTTATTCTCTAAACTTATTATTTCCTCCCTTTATTGTGCACATTTTTCTTTTATCACTAAAATAAAAATTAATCCTCCTCTCTTGTGAGACACAGCTCAAAAATATGGAAGAGGTAGCAAAGCCTATGCCACCCCCACAATGTCTCATCTACTATCTTCCAGGGAGAACCCAAACTAGAACCATTTATTTGATTAAAGCTTTGTGCCCAGAAGGCCAGGATACCAATTAAGCTATGCTGTATAACAATGCACCCCAAAACTAAGTGGCTCTAATAAGCATTTATTATTGCTCACAAGTTTGTGGTTCAGCTGGGCAGCGCATCTGTGGCCAGCTATGGATTGGGCTAGCCACTCTGTGGCTTTTGGTTGGACTTTCACACTTATTTGGGGATGGCTAGCTGTAGGCTGCTCTGGGTTGGCCTCAGCTGGGACAATTGGTCACTTCTTGTGATCCTTCATCCTCCAGGAGGCTATTCCAGGCCTGTTCTTATGGCAGCAGAAGGGGTTTGAGAGAGGAAACAAAAGTGGGCAAGGCCTCGTGAGTCTTGGGCTTAGAGCCAGCATATTATTCTTCCAAATGCATTCTAGTGGCCAAAGCAAGTCACAAAATTAGCCCAGAGTAAAGGGCTGAGGAAAGAAACTTCACCTTCCAATATGTTAAGGGAATATATGGATATGGAAAGACTTGGAGAATTGAGATCACCTCTGTAAGCATTCTACTGCAGCTATTATCATGTCATATTATTATAAGAAGGAAGCCTAGCATATCTATCCACATATTATACATTTGCATGGCTTAGTTGGTTGTCATCTTACATCTTACAGCATGTTAAGGAAGCAAGGGATTTCATAATAAATGGTAATAATTTACTCATCTTCATATTCCCAGTACTTAGCATTGCATCAGGCAAATTGTAGGTATTCCACAAGGATAATAATAAAAGAAAAGATAGTGGAAAAAATTACTATACTAGAAATCAGAAAATCAGCTGGAGCATAATTCGGTTATGTCAAATTACCTGTACAACCTGGAAGGGAGTGATTGTGCCTCCCTGGGATTTCAAATGACAGAGTTAAACTGGGCATTCTCTAGGCTCTTCTTTTCTTCTTTAATTTTAAAATATTAAGGCTCTAAGAACTTGAGAACGTGTGTAGGTACAACACACCCATTAGATATATGGGGAGACTGAGGCTAGGAAAGCCAACCACCGAGTTTAGAAGTATACATGATTAACGTCAGAGACTGGAACTCAGAGCTCATGACTCCCAGCCCAGCCCCCGCGGGTTACTCTAGCACATTGCTACTCTGAGAATATTCCATGAACCAGCAGCATCAGTATCAGACCCCCTGGGAGCTTGACAGAAATGCAGAATCTCAGACCCTATCCTGTGCCTACTAAATCAGAATCTGGGTTTTTAACAAGACCCCCAGATAATTCATATGTGCATTAAAGTTGGAGAATTTCTAGGCTTCCTAATAAATGTTTAAGAGCTGAAAAAGTAAAATAATCTGTTTAGTTAGGAAAATGTTCCTTTGTATATCTTAACACCGAAACCATTTCTTCTACACATCTCTCACTAATTCATTTAACAAAAACCTCCTGAGCGCTCACCCCTTGCGCGGTGTTGTAGAAACAGAGATAGCAGGTCCTTGCCCTCCTGGAGCTCACAAAGCCCCTTTCTCTGTTCCCACGTCCTTTTCTCCCTTTCTGCCCTCTCTTTGCTCCTTATCTTCCCAACCTCCTCCCACTCCCCCTCTTAATAATTCCATGACGAGGATCTCATTTCTGAAATCATTGCTTTAAGAGCAAAGTATTTGATTCATTTGAAATTCCAATTTCAGAATAGTGATTTCAAATGTTGGAAAAATTTGATTTGGCTCACTTCCAAGCAGCCTACATTATAATATCAGCACGACCCTAAAACTGTGTATAAAGAAGACAAAAGCACTCAGAACACTTTGGGGGGAATTCTCTGTGAATACAGTGCATGTTAGTCATACACTTTAGTTTTCATTTTTTCTAATGCAGTCTTATCTCTAGGAAGATAAAAGGTTGCTAGCACAGAAATACAAAGAGATTGTATTTTTTTTTCTGAAATATGTAGAGCTGGCACATCTACACCCATAATAAAACGTTTATATTTTTCATTGAGGAGAAAAGGAAAAACGTTCAATATCAACAGATTATTTTCATTCACAAACTCAGCATGAACCAGAAAATTAAACAGAAAGCCAGTAAATTAATGATTTTCAGATGACTAATGTGAGTTGGAGTCTTTACATTAAGCAATTGGATCCCAAGTCATGGTTATATGATGCTTCTCAATTCCTCTGAGGCTTCTATGCCTGGCATTTTAAGTTCCAGTATTTGAAAGTCCTACACCTTTCTTTTTTCCCCACTCCCTCATACTTCTGAAAAGCTCTGAACTCATTTCATTCTTCTTTTCTTTCCTTGTCTTCAAAGATATGCCGTGATGATTCTGCTTTTCAAAAATCAAGACTGCTTGAACTTTAGCTGAGAGTAATGAAATTTCAATCTTGCACACAATGGTGACCACATCCTTTTCCTGCTCTCTTGGTGCAGTTAGAATTGCAGCTGCCCGGCGGGAACAATAGGACCACTTCTCAGTTCCGAGGGATTGGCTGTTGCTGAACAGCAGTGCATAGAAATAATCCTTGGCAATCCCATGGGTGACATTTCTCATTCCTTATCACCCATGCTGCACACAGCCGGAACTTGATAAGACACCCAGAAAGAAGATAATGGCTGCTATCAAGCTGTCTAGGTAGAAATAATAATAATAATCTGTTTATGGAAGAGCAGCTGTCCTATTGTTCTGGATTTCATGAAATCTCAGTGTCAGATCCTCTCTCCCAAGCCAGCCCCATCCCTGTTCCTCATGCCAACCCAATCACTTTGGGGCTTTAATGATGGGCATTTTCCCCCTGATCTTTTGATACAATAGGCAAGGATGCACATAAATATCCCATAATCATATTCAGTCACGAGATATACTTAAAAGGACTAGAGAAGAGGCATTTCATAGGAAGATTTGAAGCCTGGGAGGACTTTGTAATGAATATAGGAAAGCCCAGTATTCCTTTTTAAAATATGCACAAAACCCAGAATTACTGCAAATGAATAGTTCAGTAATCATTCCGGTCTGAAATCCTAACCCCTAAATTTTGAAAAGTAGGTCTCCATTTCTCAAAGTGAAACCCCAAGAATTGTGACCTAGCAGTTGCCAACAATGAAGGTCACATCTATGTTCACTGCTTTTCATTTGTCCTGAACAGAAAAGCCAAAGGCTTAGCAGTAGCCCGGCAAAAACGTCATTGTTCTCCTTTCCTTTGCACCAGATTGTTCTCCTGGGGAAAGATCTCCCTTAACTGAACATGTGGTCACTTTATTTACCAGCCTTCAGATCTACCATTTTCTTCATCACTGTCATCTTCACATAGGGGTCTCTGTGGATGCTACTTTTCTTTCATTATCTGTCCACCTATTTCGGGGAAAGAACTAGACATCCATGGCCTTCAGGGTGAAGTAAACAATAGAACAGAAATAAATAGGGCAATTCCTTTTACCCTCCATGCAGTGTAAAACTGCAGCCAAAATTTGCATGTTCATTTCCAGAGAGAATAGACCCCTTCATCTCTGAAACAATTGTGCCGTAAGGGTTGCACCATTGCAGTGAGCAGAGGGTCAGAGTTGCCTTTGCCTCTCTTTCCTGTGACTTCCCCAGAAGTCATCATCACCTCCAGTTTACCCAGGCTGAGCTCACTTTCTCCCTGTGTGCCCTTTCAGTAAGGCATGGCAATGGCCAAAGGAGAACAAAGAGGGAAAATATATGGACGTGGTGAGTGGAGAAACAACCTTCAGGAGTTTCCCACTGACTGGTTTCTCCATTTTGTATGATAGGATTACTCTGTGAGCCAGATGTCTCTGCATGTGAACAACCCCAGGTCTCTTCCTACACAACAAGGCATGCCCAGCTAAAAGATCTCTCCCTCCCTCCTTCTCTTTCTCTCTCTCTTTTTCCCTGTCTTCCCCCTCCTTCTCTCTCTTTGCTCAGTGCATGTCCCATTGCCCAGGGACATAGTCAAGTATGACTTTCTCTAGACCTCCTCTACCCTCTCCCATCCTCCAACAGAATGAGTTAATCATGGTATTTTGTACATAGCTGTATTATAGCCTTTTTCATTCCACATCACATGCCTTTCTTGCCAACCACAATATGAATTCCAAGAAAGTAGGTAAATGCCTTTTTATTTGTTTATTCATCTTTGGAAAGACAATTTACAAAATGAGTAAGGAAATGGGGTTTGCATCAGACAGCTCTGGGCATGAATTCTAGCTCTGACGGTAACTAGCTGCATGCCCTTGGGTTTTCTGGGACTCAGTTTATTAAGATATAAAATGGGGCTATTTTCATGAAGTTTTCTTAAAGGATTAAGTGAATTAAAGTATACGTATGTAAAATGTTTAGCACACTGCAGACATGCAATAAGCTCTTGATAAATGGTAGCTATAATTATATTAATAGTTAATTATCATGAACTTGATATCCTCAGCCTCTCCCACAGTAGACTACCAATAAATGTATATTGAAGAGGACAGTAAAAGAACAAATGAAATGTACACACATATATACAGTACATAGGCACATGCTGTATATACAAACATATGACAGTACATATACATACACTATCATCCTCCCACTATAAATTGCATTACTCTCTGCTTAGATGAGCTCTCAAAATGCAAGACAATCTGTCGACTTACAGTCTGTCGACTTACAGGGTATATGAGAGGGGAAGAAACTGATCACAAAAGAATTTGCAGAGATTCTTCTTTCTAGCAGCTTTACTGTAAGTGGGGGCCTCAGGGAACCCAAAAGTTTTCCTCTGTGAGTGCCGAATTTGCCATCTCCTTCTGCCATCAAGGCAGAAACACAGGTGGGGGGCAGGTGGCAAGAGCAGGGTGCTTGTCACCCTCGACCAGTCAGACCCTCAAGGGGAAAAGCAGAGGTAATCGAGTCTGTGTTCACTTGCCAGAATGAGTCACAGCAGAATTCAGGAAGTAGGAGATGTGGCCTTTAACTTGTACTTCCTTCTCCCAATAGTCCTTTTTTGCACAAGTCATTATAAATCACCTGGTCTCACACCGTAAGTGACTGTAAAACCCTGGAAATGTCTGGATTCAGACTTGGCATTTCCCCCATAAGACACCAAAGGGGTTAATGTCTGGCCAGTAATCAAAGTCTGGCAGCTTCTACCCCACACATAATGGGCATTGTTGTTCCTGAGAGTTTGTCTGTTTTTTCTGGCAGGCTTTACTGTTTGGAACTGATTCTAAAACAGAAAAGGAAAAAGTCAATCTGCATTTTTTTTTTTTTTTTTACGCACACATGCAACAAAACATAAGGCTGGTCATAGAACTGTTGTTTTGCTAGATTTCCAGGAAAGTTGTTGGCTTACTATTCAGAGAAGATGACTTATCAACTTAAAATACATTTACCTCAAAAGAGAATTCATTTATGTAAGTACGTGAGACCCACTTAATATCCTAAGGCGGCTGCCTTCTCTCAGATATGAAGCAACACATTACAACTGTATTAGCTGATAAGTGAACTGTGGCTGGCCCATCCATCTGCATATAAAATCCATTTGCATGACGTTATTAATGTGCTTGCTCATCAACCTTCCCAGGTCACTTGCAATCTCAGGACATGCTTGTCACTCCCACCTGATGGGCCCCCAGATGTTTCCATCTGAAACCACATGAATATGTGTAAGTTACCAATACAACAGAATCCCATTACAGAAACATCAGATTCTATTCCAGTGGGAAAGGGCAGGCTTTATTTTTATTTCCAATCTGTCATGAAACAACACTTTTGTATAAACCCCAAATCATTCGCTTAGATGCCAACAGCACATCAAATTTTTATAGATGTGTCTAAAAACTTACTCTTAGTTCTGTACTTACCTTGTCGTGAACCAGTAACAAGCAGTTTGTGGATCAAACTGGTCCATGGACCACACTTTGCTGGACCATGCATTTAGTTATATTGCTGGTAGATCAGATTCTACATGAAGGTTCACAAACCGTCTCTGTAAAGAACCAGGGGGTTAATATTTTAGGCTTTGCAAGCCATATAGCCTCTTATAACAACTCAATTTTGTTATTGCAGTATGAAAGCAACCACAGGCAATAAAAAAAAAATGAATGGGTTATGTTCAATAAAACTTTATAAAAACAGACCACAGGTTGGATTTAGCCCACAAGCTGTGATTTAGGAACCTTGGATGATGATGTTGATGATGATTGTAGCTAACATTTACTGACCAGCTACAGCATGTCAATCCTCCCTATTTACCCACTATACCCATGAGTTAGGTAACACTGTTTTAATTTTACAGATAACAAAAATGTGACATCAAGAAATTAAGACATTATTTCAGTTTATTCTGAAAATAGGTGATGTTCCAGGATCCAAACTACACTCCTTAGGCTAATATAATACCATAAATATCGAACAAGTGGGGTATATTTTTCACTATGAATAAGAATCTTAAAATATTAGTGTCATCTTGTTCATCTTCTTCCCTTTCTCATTTTTCCACCCATCATCGACCTCAGCAGTACCAAGGTCTTAATGAACAGTCCCTCTGAAGGGTCCATGTGAAGTCAAGGTCAGGCAAAAACATATTAATACTAATACAAACATTCACTTATTCAACCAAATATGTGTTGAGTGCTTACTCTGTGTCAGACACTAGTCTAAGCAATGAGCCTAAAGCAGTGAACAAAACACATAAGATCCTGTTCTTACAAAACTTATATTCTAGCAAGAGGAGGTAAACAATAAACAAAGAAATATATATTTTCTCCCATTCTGTAGATTATCTGTTCTCTCTAGTGATAGTTTCTTTGAGTGTGCAGATCTTTTTAATTTGATCGGGATTCATTTATTTTTGTTGTTGCTGTGATTACTTTTGGGGTCTTCTTCATAAATTCTTTGCCTAGGCCAATATCTATAAGAGTTTTCCCAACATTTTCTTCTAGAATTCTTATGGTTTCACGCCTTAGGTTTAAATCTGTTATCCACCGTGAGTTGATTTTTGTGAGAAGTGAAAGGTGCAAATCCTGTTTCAGTCTTCTACATGTGGCTATCCAATTTTCCCAGCACCATTTATTGAATACGGATTATTTTCCCCAGTGTATGTTTTTATCTTCTTGTCAAAGATCAGATGGCTATATGAATATGGTTTTATACCTGGATTCTCAGTTCTGTTCCATAGGTCTATTTCTCTGTTCTTGCGCTAATACTATACTGTTTTAGTTACTATAGCCTTGTAGTATAGCTTGAAGTCTGGTAAATTGATGCCTCCCAAATTGTTCTTTTTGCTTGAGTTTGCTTTAGCTCTACAGGGGTCTTCTCTGGTTCCATAAGAAGCAAAGAATTATTTTTTCTAGATCTGTGAAACATGATGTTGGTATTTTAATAGGGATTGCATTGAATCTGTAGATCATTTGGGGTACATCTGCACTTTAATGTTTATAGCAGCACAATTCACAATTGCAAAGATGTGGAAATAACCCAAGTGCCCATCAATACATGAGTGGATTAATAAAATGTGGCATATGTATACAATGGAGTACTACTCATCCATAAAAAATGATGAACTACCTATAGCATTATCCTGGATCAAGCTGTAGTCCATTCTTCTAAGTGAAGTATCACAAGAATGGAAAAACAAACACTGCATGTACTCACCATTAAACTGGTACTAATGTGCACCATTAAACTGGTACTGATGTGCACATATGGGAAGCAACATTCATAGGGTGTTGGGCAGGTGGGAGGTGAAGGAGGGGATGGGTAAATCCATACCTAATGGAAACAGTGCATGTTGTCTGGGAGGTGGGCATGCTTTTTGGGTGGTGCAAAGGCAATTTATGTAACCAAAGCATTTGTAACCCTGTAATATTCTAAAATAATAAATAATTAGAAAAAAAGAAATATATGTTATGTTGGTTGTGTGGGAGTCAGGTTTTTTAAGAAAAATAAAGCAGAGAAAGAGAATAGAGAGTAACAAGGAGATGTTTCTCTTTCATCCAATTCTTTTATCTCTTCTTTACCAACTAAGATATGTAATCACCAAATAGAGCTATACTTTCAAATATACCTACTAGGTATAAACATATATCTATAGAATGTTTTTGTGCCATATTTTTATCAGTTTTTTCCTCCATAACTATATGGGAAAAAACACTGAGGAAGAAACTAGTTCATTTATTCATGCTGCAAATATTTATTGAGTGCCTACTCTGTGCCAGGCACTCTTTTTAGATCAGGGGATCCAATAGTGAGCAAAATAGACAAGGATACTTGCTCTCATGGACTCCCATTAGGACCAGAAAAGTCAGAGAATAAGCCAAACACATGATAAACACATATTATAATGTGATACAAACAATGGAGAAAAGAAAAGGCACAGTAGGAGGCTAAGGAGATCTGGAATATCTAGGGCAAGAGGGAAGGTTGCAATTTAAAATAGTTAAACAACTTTCCCTCAATCAAACAGTATACAACGGAAACAATCTCCATTTAAATATAAAGTCTACTTTTTAGTTCACTCATTCCTACAGTCAGTGTGTCATCAGTGAAAAGAAAACACAGGATGTTTTGTGTTGAGTGTTCTATTTAAGTCCATAAAAAGAAATGTTATTCTTTCAAAGCCATTTTTGCCCTTCCCTTTCCCTTAGTTCAGAGAAAATATTAAGGGATTGGCAGCTGAAACAATCTAGGGATGGGAGAGGTAAAAGGAAGGAAAAACTAAGGGCCAGCTTTCACACTGGGTGACTGTTTTAACAAGGATGTAGCTGTGGTCCAGCCCTCCTGGGTCCCAGGACGGCCTTGCTAGGGAACCTCCAAAGCAGAACTGGCAGGCACTGAGCATTTTCCATTAAGCGTGGCATTCGCTTTTTTCAAAAAGTAATGAGATGTTAATATAGATTTGAATTTTAATCAGATCCAACAGAGGAACAGGGTGTTTTTCTGCAAATGTGAAATATTTCTAGGCTTTTAGGAAAATGTCATCCATATAAAGGCTAACTAGTGTTTTACATATAAAACCACCATTCTTCATTCGTTTTTTCAGGAAAGAAAAAAAATATGGTAAAATGAAACATTGCTGCAAATATTTCTTACTTTCTTGTGAACATCAATTGTTACTGAGGATTTTTTAATTATTCTTAGAAACTAAGAAGAATGTTTGTAAGCTTACGGCAAGGATTACAGGATTTCAGTTAATAAATCATGAAAACAGGCTAAGTGAAACTTATTTTTTGATAATAATAGTATTAATTTAAGAGATCTCAACAAATTCCTAAAAATATTATGTAGGTTTAATGCTAGAAATGCCAATAGTAGTAATTCTACCTAAAAGCAAAAGGAGTTCAAAGTCTGCTTGCCGAGAAAGAATGTACTTAGTAACCACCGCACTCAGCTACCAGAAGTAACAACGCCGTTATCTCAGATGTATTGTGTTAATAGCTATTCTATACCAGGCATTTTGCTAAGTGCTTTTAAAGAATGTACTTTACCAAACCCTTACCATAGTAGTGTAAGAGAAATATTATTCCCATTTTACAGATAAGAAGACAGGTTTACCCAAAAGCACATAACCCATAAGGCTGGATTCTAATCCACATGTCTCTGATTCTAAAATCAGCACTGTAGCTCATACTTTCTCTCTTCTTTTTTACCCCTACATTCATCTTTTCCCCCATATTTTCTTCCAGGAGGATGTTCTTCTGTAATTGTTATATGTTTCCTATACCCAGTTGATTTACCAATCAATTTATTCTGTAAAACTCAGAATAAAGTCCTCTTAGGTGTTATGCGGAAGGCTGGGTTCTGGGAATGACTATTACCTCTCATGGATAAATCCCAGCTGTTCTCTGCATGATTAGTTTATCCAACAATCAATTGGTCAAATAGTGTATAGAAATTCGACTTCATCCTCAGTCTACTTTCTACTTACCCCCCTGAGAATTCTCTGAAGGCCACTAAAAATAAAAAATAAAAAAAAGACAACATCAGAGCTAACATTTGGTGGGAGCTAGGAGACTAGTGACAAGAATTCCCTAAGCCTCCTTTGTTCAAGTCTGACATTCATGTTCCTTAGAGAAAACAGAGGCAAAATCCCTTGTGTGTCTGTGTTTGGGGGATGGACCTTTCCAGCAAGCTTGATATATTCCATCTGTGCATGTATTTGGATTTCTAAACATGTGTTTATAACATATAATCCTATTATTAAACATCCAGAATAATAATGCAAATATATTGAAAGGAAGGACAATAATTTACTCTCTTAAAGGATTTTTTCACATTAGAATATAAATCTCTATGCCTTCATTTGCAAAATAAATTTCCTGAAACTGTGAGATGACAATTTTTCTTTCTAGACCAGACATGCAGAACTGGGGAACTAAACAACCCATAGCAAAAAGGAAGGGAAAGGTGTGCAATGAGGGGCAGGGAAGCCCAGCAAGTATTCTGATATGCCCCTCAAAACCTGTAGCCCCAAATGTCTTGAATTGAATCACACACATCACCTATAGAAAGATCTGCCTAGGTAGTAAACCTGAATATTTTCATCAGTGAAAGAGAACATTGGTCCATAGGTGTCAAGTTTGGTATACATCAGAAGCACTTGGAGTGGTTTTCAACATATGTAATTTGGGCACCACCAGCTGAAAGTGATGATTTAGTGGTTCTGGGGGAAATTCAGACATCGGCATTTTTAAAAGTCCTTCTCTGATTCTCTGACTCCTCCACTCTGACCACCACACACACACATACACACATGTGACTCTGAAACACACAATTCTGAAAAACACTGGGCTAGTTAATGGAAAATGGTGGGCAGTTTCCCCAGGCTGAAGGAGACAAGGAAGATAGTCCACAGGACATTGCGGAGGCAAGGAATTATTCCTGACTTGTTCAAGATGCTAACTGGAAGGCATACCCAACTTTTATAAGGAGAAACAAAGGCTGCAGCTGTTTAACATAATGCATTTGGTTTATAAAGTGTACTTGGCTTAAAATTAAGAGGGCCACTGGAATTCATGTCTGAAACCATCTCTCTCATGCACAA